TATAACTATTGGCCATTTTGTTAACACATTTCTCTAGAGTTTGAACTAAACTTGATAACTCATCAGGGGTCTTTACAGGTGTAGTTTCATTATCTGTCCTAACACTATTTACACTTGGCTTAGTGATGGAGAGTTGTGGCCCCTTAACTGCCTCAAATTCTGTTGCTAATGAAATGGCACTCTCTAAAGTCTTAGGATGATGTAAAATGACATGAGATCTAATTTCTGAATTCCCAATTCCACTCATAAACTGCTCTAAAACAACTATCTCCCTATCAGAATAAGCCATATCTGGAAAAGCTAAGTTTCCTAACCTCCTAAGCGCAAAACCATAATCTGAAGGGCTTTCATTCTGTTTTCTAAGACGTGACCTAAAGTCTACCCTATGTGCAACTACAAGTTCTTTCGGACAAAACCTACTAGATAAGATAGATGTTAAGTTGTCATAATCTTTTCTCTGTTCTTGAGAAAGGTCACCTAGAATTTTCTGTGCCTCCCCCCTTAATGACATAACTAGCTGCTGGGACTTTTCTTCATGAGACCAATTGTTCCAATTAGACACTTGCTCAAAATGAACTAAGTAATCCTGCCATGCTACATTTCTACCATCAAACTTGTCTGGTTCTTTTTCTCTACGTTTAGGTCTACCAAGATTTACAGGGGTACTGGGCAGTGTAGACATATTTGTCTGTGACCTACTGAGATTCTCACTTCTGTCTCTCTGTGCAAAGTTTATTTGTGCAGGTGAGGTACTCAAACTCTCTGTTTCTCTCACTCTAGCTAAGGGTGTCACTGTCTCTCTTACAACTTCATTCTGACTTGCTTGCCTGCCCCTATCATTACCTTCAGCAAATGACACACGACGTTTGCGTCGAAGAGTTTCCTCAATCTCATGCTTACATTTCTCATAGTCTGTAGTGAGGTCCTGCAACAGTTGTTCTAAATCTGAAACCTGTACACTCATGCTAGTATCTAGTTTACTCTCATGCATCTCAATCTCACTCACAGGAGAGGACAAAGAGGGCTGTTTGACTCTTGACATAAGCTTAGGTCTAGCACCTTGACTAGAACTTAACCTATCAACTCTAGGGGTTGATGTAGCTCTTCCTACTCTATCTGAACCTGAATTTAGCGAAGCCATGGTTTCTATTCAGAAATCCTGGTCACGGCACCAAAAATTATGTAACCGGAAGTAGAACTCTTCAGTGTATAAATTACCAAAGTTACTAGCCAACTCGGCTTAAAGGAGTAAACTATCTCCAGTTATCAATGATCAACCCAGGTAAGGGGATTTCTGAACTATGGTCAACGCTAAATGAAAACACAGTTGTAAGTTTTATAGATTTAATAAAGTGAGAATTAACCGTTGTAAATGATAACAAATAATAAATAATGATCAAAATTTAACAAACAGAAAAGTCTTTGAAAATGGCACAGGATAAATAAAGCTTTATCAAAAATAAAATGTAATTTAATCTGAAAAAAAAATGAATCTCAATAATCTCAATGAATAACCTCAATAAATAAATAATTGAAAAATGTAATGAAAAATGGGAGGAATGTGGCAAACTTATGAAAAATAATCTATGTCCCTACTGGGCCTCCATACTTATGAAAATAGTCAAAAATCCTAAAGAGATGAAAAAAAATGTAAAAGGAATGAGCTACATCACCCAATATGACACTATCAACACTCTAGAGTTAATCTGGAAATATCAATACTAATTCTTATAGGCTCTAAAAATAACTGACCCAGAAAATAAACAACACCCAAAAATAAATAATAAATAGTGGTTCTAGAAAATAAACCTGTTATCTACATATCCCTAGACCAGGCTGGACTTGGAAAGGGGAAACTAAATTTACTTTATATACCCTACATCCTAACTGTTTCCTAACATGTGAAAAACGTGAAACTAAATCTAAGCCAAAACCTAGAGAACTTGTTAAACCATAAGGTTTTCTTAGTCAACTAAGTATCTAATCAAATAGTGCTCATAAACCATAAGGTTTTCTTAGCACAGAAAAGAGGAACTAACCATGAGGCTGTGTTCCCCAACCCAAGTGAAGAAAACTACACGAACACGGGTTTAAATACCCTGACAAGGCCCAAAATAAAAGCCAATGACTATCAAAGATCCTAAAGCTAAATTAACCAATCAGAACGCAGGTATCAAAAGTACTACGGAAAGACTGCCAACATGGATGACACTTCCTGTTTAAAAAGTAAAACATGTGGAATGTCAACTCATGTCCTAACTTATAAAAGACAAATAATAAAGGACTTTTACGTAAGTAACAACTGAAAACAAATGGTAAATAGAATTATCAGACTGAAATACCAGCAAATACTTGTAAGATAAGAATTACGAAACGATGGCTATGAAATAAAAATCTAAACCACTACATTCCTCCCCCCTTAAAAAAACAAAATTTACACAATAAATTTTCGTTTCAGAATAAATTAAAGAAATGTCAGAAGAAATGTGGTTTCTGGTCCCGAGCATTCCATTCTTGGAGGTTAAAGAGTGGCTTCACCGCACACTGCCGAGCCCTTGCCGCTACGTCACGTGCCTCCCGGTGAATAGTGGGAAGTGGCATCCCAATTCTGCCGGGGTTTACAAATCTAGGGTTATCGATAATGGACGAATTCCAACATCCTTGTAAACTTGAGTGCTTGGCTCGCATGTGACGCCGAAGCATGTTCATCTTAAATGAGGAGAAGGAACATGATGAAGAGTAACAGTAGTACACTGGAACTCGAGCCTTATGATATTTGATGAAATGTGCCCTGTACGATCCAATCTTGTGGAAGGTATGATTCGTCAAAGGACAGTTCTGTATTTGGCACGTGTCTCCCTCGGACGGCCACTCCTTTTGAATCATATCCTCCCCACAGAGGGCCTCCATCTCCTCATCCGGGACATTTAAATCAAGAACTTCTGACATCTGAGAAAAATGAAAAAAAATGTAAAAGGAATGAGCTACATCACCCAATAAGACACTATCAACACTCTAGAGTTAATCTGGAAATATCAATACTAATTCTTATAGGCTCTAAAAATAACTGACCCAGAAAATAAACAACACCCAAAAGTAAATAATAAATAGTGGTTCTAGAAAATAAACCTGTTATCTACATATCCCTAGACCAGGCTGGACTTGGAAAGGGGAAACTAAATTTACTTCAAATACCCTACATCCTAACTGTTTCCTAACATGTGAAAAACGTGAAACTAAATCTAAGCCAAAACCTAGAGAACTTGTTAAACCATAAGGTTTTCTTAGTCAACTAAGTATCTAATCAAATAGTGCTCATAAACCATAAGGTTTTCTTAGCACAGAAAAGAGGGACTAACCATGAGGCTGTGTTCCCCAACCCAAGTGAAGAAAACTACACGAACACGGGTTTAAATACCCTGACAAGGCCCAAAATAAAAGCCAATGACTATCAAAGATCCTAAAGCTAAATTAACCAATCAGAACGCAGGTATCAAAAGTACTACGGAAAGACTGCCAACATGGATGACACTTCCTGTTTAAAAAGTAAAACATGTGGAATGTCAACTCATGTCCTAACTTATAAAAGACAAATAATAAAGGACTTTTACGTAAGTAACAACTGAAAACAAATGGTAAATAGAATTATCAGACTGAAATACCAGCAAATACTTGTAAGATAAGAATTACGAAACGATGGCTATGAAATAAAAATCTAAACCACTACACCTATAAGATCGAGGCCCATGGGTCACATGGTCACTTGAGAATATTATGCTCAATTTGATGAATACATGGAGGCCCTATTATGTAAATTATCGAATTATATTGACTTTTTTCTTGGTAAAGCCCAATTTAAAGGAGTGTGCATTTAGAGGCAAACACCTTAGTACGGGTATTACTGTCTCATGACAGCATCTAGTTCTTATGAGGCCTTAATTTGGGTCTTAAGATAATTTATTTGCATTTGAAAAAGTTTAACCCTCACTATGTTGTCAGACGGGTTAGTGTTTCATGAACACATCTTGTTAATGCTGCTATTTTTAGGACATCAGTGAACACTGGGGGAAACATTACAAATAAATATAAGAAAAGAAAACAAAATGTTATAGTATTTGTGAAACACTGATGCCCCCCGTACGGCAACACAGCGAAGTTTAAACTTTTCCAAATGCAAATAAAATATGTTGAAAGCCCTAGCACCACCTAATCAACAGTTATGGCCAAGGTTAAAGTTTTTAAAACTAGGTCAAACTCTAAGGTCAAGGTCAAAGGGTCATAGTTGTTGGTTTCTAAAGAAAGGTCTTGTCACAGGGATTACATATTTGAAGTATGAAAGCCCTAGCTTTAACCGTTCAAATGCTATGGCCAAGGTTAAACTTTGTTTTTTTTTAAAGAAGGCCAAACGTCAAGGTCAATGGGTCAAAGTTGTTGGTATTCTAGGAAAGGTCATGTCATGATGATTAAGCATATGAAGTATGAAAGCCCTAAACCTTACCGTTAAGGTAAGATTAAAGTTTTTTTAAAGGTAGGTCAAATTCTTAGGTCAAGGTCAAAGGTCAATGGACCATTATCACCTGCATATGGAGTCTATATCTCCAAGTTGATTCGATACGCAAGTGTATGCTCTACGTTTGTAAAAAAAAAAAATTAAAACAAGACAATCTTTTAGTTTAAGTTGAAGAAACAATAGTCTTGTTCAGTCATAAAATTTTTATAACAATGACCTTTTAAATTAGCAATATATTATATCATTGTGACGCATTTTGATTGGCTTCTTCTTTTGGAAAAATTGGTATGCCTTATTTCCACACCGACTTGTCTATATTTTTACCGTTTCCTGATCATAACCAGGCGTGCACAGCAGGTGTAACTCTACGACTGGGATGCATGTATATCCTGCATGCAAGTATTTTACTCTATACTTTCTGTTAATTCTTTTAATTATCAGAGGGAAGAGAAGACTAACGTGGATTTAACAAGATTTCTATTGTTTATTT